TCTAAAATGACAAAAATTAACAAAATTTTATCACCAATAAAGACGTCTAGTGTGGAGATTCAATAAGCTTTAATAAAAAAAAACGAGTGTTATAAATTTTATTATTTTTAAAGCATGTAACTGCTTGATGTTTAAATCTAAAGAAAATATAACTAGAAAAAAATCCACGCGGACCAGGCAGCACACGGGACGAGTGTGTGTGGAAAAACGAGTGTGCTTATGTACGACCACACCAGAGCCGGACCGTGAGTTAAGGGGGCCCTGGGCTAATACTATTTAGGGGCCCACCTCAAAGTATAGAAAAAAATGAGAGAAAAACATAATATTATATTATAAGTACTAGCTGTCCCAGCGAACTTCGTACCGCCATAAAAAAATAGGGGTTGGTAATAGAAGGGTGAAAATTTAGGGTTGTATGTATTTGTGTATGATGTATCATAAAAAAATAAAAAAAAAAATATCTAAAACTGAAAAAAAAAATTAGGGGTGGATTACCCTCAACATTTAGGGGGATGAAAAATAGATGTTGTCCGATTCTCAAACCTACCCAATATGCACACAAAATTTCATGTTAATCGGAAAAGCCGTTTCGGAGGAGTTTAACCACAAACACCGCGACACGAGAATTTTTATAAGGGACCCTTCAACACCCTTTTCGCTTTATTTGTATTTTTGAAACACCGTGTATATAAGATTATGCCTTAGTATTATACTACTGTTAATAAATTGACAAATTACAAAGCAACCTTTCTGCAAAGTGCAGACATGGCAAATTTTTTAATTTGCTCCTCACATTCTAGGGGTAATATAAATGGGGTTACATTCAACAATGTATTTTTTCTACATTGAATGTACTTCTAATCATTGAATCTACTGCTTTAAAGAAAATAATATTAATTTTCTTTCTTTAGTGAATCACTAGTTCAGCTTTAGACATCGTTTTTGAAAATATTATATCTGCTATGGAAATTCAGCGATGTTTGCCTGTCTGAATTTCCGATCTGTTTACTTTAATAAAAGTATGGATTCTTTCGCAATATCGTCTATTTTTGGCTTTGACTTGACTAAGCTGGGGGCCCCTTCAATCCACGGGGCCCTGGGCTGAAGCCCAAAAAGCCATATGGTAGATCCGCCTGTGGACCACACGACTGAAGTGAAACTTCTTTAGCAAAAATGATCTGAAAATCATAAACTTAACCTGAAGATTTGTTAGAAAAAAAACCACCAACCGCGCTGGGTCCATTATCACCCACCAATCCGTGCTGGGTCCGTTATCGCTCACCAATCCGCACTGGGTCCATTGTTACCCACCATTCCGTGCTAGGTCCGTTATCACCCTCCAATCCGCACTGGGTCCATTATCACCAACCAAATCCGCACTGGGCCCGTTATCACCCACTAATCCGCGCTGGATCCGTTATAACCCACCAAGCACTAGATTCATGTAGGTATTTTGTGACGGGTATTGTTCATTGTTTACCGATGAGTCATTGATGACACGCGTAACGCGCCAAAATCGTAACACATTCGCCAGTTTACCCCCCTAGTCAAGCGTGCCCAAAGAAGTTTCACTTCAAAATGCAAAACATAGAGGCCTAGTATAACTAATTATTCTGTTGGTAAATTTTATTTTACATATAGGTACCTATGTAATTTTTGTGGAGGAAATTGTCGAGAGCCATACCTATATACAATTTTTAAACGCAATTTTCAGTTGTCTCTATCGCGCGGTATTTACCAATGCGCGACAGCAATAGTTTTTTCAAATACCTAAGTGCCTATTTCTCAAATGTCTCTCAACTCGCGTCCGCTCCTAATTGCCATCTAGTTACGAAAGTTGCATAACTTCCACGATCGCAGACCGAACACGTTTCGCACTGCGAAATCGTGATCCACAATTATATTTTCATAATAGTGGATGTCCCGGTCTCAAACCAATTAAAGGAAATTATTAACTTTAAAATGTTGCTATATAGCCTAACAGCGATATTTACTGCTAGTTTATTTTTTGTATTATAAATTATCTAGTTATAAGTTGTATTTGGGAAGGAAAATATTTGAATTTTTTTTGTTTATTTTATTATTCAAGGTAATCGTTATAAAACCGGGATGTACCCTAATTTGACCAGCCGGCCTCAGTTGTTATCAAGATTTGTACCAGAGGTTGACCATTTATAAAAAAGTTAAATAATAACTACATTCACAATTAAAAGCAAACGTATTTTATAATCAACTTTATGGTTTGTTCTTAGGACTAATTGATATCAATAAGTAAATTAAATTAAGGTCAGTCTCAACAATCACAATAGTAATTCTTAAATCTAAATGGCACATTTTCAAATCACCATAAAATAACGAATCATAACTTCACTCAAACTTTGAACTTTTTAAACAATCTAAAGTTTTGGTTAAGTAATTCTTTGTTAATATCAAACTTAAATATTGTTTTTAATTGTTAAAAAAATATTTAAGTTTCATAATTAAATTCACGTAATGATTCAAAATTAAAAACTGCAAAATTAAAAAAAGGTATCAGATCCAAAAAAGATACTTGGCCATTTCTGGTACTTTATATGAACCTCTATTATTAATTGACACAGGAGCATTAATTTTCTCCACTATGCTGTCATTAGCATACCAAATTTTATCTTCTTTATCTGGCCATTTAAAAGTATTAGAAGTTGATATCACCATGGTACTAACTTCTTTACTCTTTTGGTCAATATTTTTGACAATCCCGGGAAAATACTCCCCTCGTAGTTTACTATAACATATGATCCTATTTCCTCGTCTGATCTATCTTTATTACTGTTATTAAATTGATCAAAGGTAAATTATCCTCATCGAAATCAGAATCAATTCTATTCTGAACTCTCTTTTTTACTCGTTTTGTTTTAGGTTTCTCAACTTTTTTCAACTCTTGTAACTTCTTTTTTTCTTCTCTTGCTAATTTCCTAAGTTCTTTTCTTCTTGTTCCTTACTTTTTTCATTCCAGTATTGCATCCACTCTACTGATGTAACTGCATCTGGCAATCGCTTTCTATTGAACCTTTTATTACCACCTTTTTTAGTGGTGATTCTGCAGGAATTGTGCATTCTTTTTCAGAATTAAAGTCCCGTTTATTATGTATATTTGCTGTTGGTTGAGAATCTGACAAGTTGCAAGCATTATTATTAATTTTAATTTCTTTTTTGGTGGCATATTGTATCTAAAACAAGAAAACAAAACTCATATTAAGAGTTTAGTCAATTATAGGATTTGTATGCAGTACCAATGTCAAACCACTGGTCAACTAATGGAAACGTAAGCAATTTACTCCTTTAAAATTGATAGTCGGGTTACAACTCATATTCTGGACATGAAACTGTTAAAAAAAGTAATAAAAAGAGTACCACTTCAGTGTACTAATCGTTGACCAATTGGTCAATCACAGGAGCACCTAATCAAATCATGTACCTTTTCTTAACCAGTAAAATAACTCATGAAATATATCGTTTGGATTTGAAATTCATTGAAAATCTTTATAATAAACATAAAATGATTACAAAAAAACAATCATCCGAACAAGTTCATTAAAAATCAATACAAAATAAATTAAAAGTGTTCTTACCTATCTTAACATTATCCTTACTACAATGGCGGCTGAATGGCAACTGCCAGTGACAAGTCAAAACAAAATTAAATTGTAGCTTTCACTGGTTGTCTCTTTCTAGTCGTAATGTGATTGGTTGATTTGTATTAGTACCAACAAGATGTAGCCAACATGAAATGAAACGTTTAATCACGAGAAAGCTTAATATTAACACTCAAAGCAGCAAGTGGTCAACAACCGGTGCATGGTCAACTATAGGGCCAACCATCCTAATATGCCAATATTTAAAGATATAAAAAGATTTTAAATTTTTCCTCGACTATGCTAAATCGAAAAGGAAAAATTAATGAAAGCTGTTGTTCTGTTTTCTTTCTGTTTATGTTTTCCAGCATGGCGATTAAACTATTGAACCCTTTTTTAGTAGAAACAGATTCGATATTGTTATGCGGTTAGCCTAAGCTATATTTTACTTGAATGAATAAAAAAAATTAATGTAGTCAAGTTTTAATTTTTGTACATTCTTAACGAGTAGGATTGTTTAAATAAGTAAATATACACACCAGTGAGTGAGTAAGTAGACATGTAGAAGGTTCACACCGTGGGCTCTGTACAAAATACAGAGCCCACGGTGTGGGCAAGCTCAACTCGCACTTGTCCAGTTTTTAATTGTATCTACGCAATGTATAAACGGACCTTCCTTATTTTAGAGAAGTTTGAATTTTTCACAGCTTCTTTTGGCTTATATGTATTTCAAACCTAACTATACGTCCAAGTGTTCCCGAGATAACAGATAGACGGACAGATGGACAACAAAGTGATTCTATATAGGGCTTCGTTTTTTCCTTTTGAGGTACGAAAACCTATAAATAATACCATTATTGTGTTCTTTAATTTGCAGACAGAGGGTTGGTATGGCAAGTTGGCAAGTTCCTATTTTTTTAGCACATGTTTAGATACGGTAGGTATTAGCTATAATAATAGAACGATGCTTATCGTTAGAATTAGTAGGTAAGTAGGCCTTGAAACTAGTTTATATGTACTTGAATGATGTAAAAAAAAATACATAAAAATGAATCAAGCCCTCTAATTGCTTCATAATTGCCCAAAGAGCGTTAAACGAAACAAAGTTCTAAGTTAATTACAATGATTGATTTTGTATCGCCATCTACAGGAATAGTAAAGAACATTGTATGCCAGCCAAAAGATGGCGCTGGCGGTGGTTTATAAGTTGATTCGGTGAATACACGCCCATTCATAATGTTTGTAGCGGTAGTGTGGCTCACATTTTTAATGCGCGCGAAAGAGACAAAAGACTCACGTACGGTACACACAACACATTCATTGATATAGGAATGGTCATTGGTTAGGTATGTTATCTAGTGTGCTACGTTATGAGTTGACGGCAAAAAGTATCTAGGTACCTAGCGCTCGCTCATATCGAAGGCGTGAGTGCGAGTTAGTGACACTGACAATTGAATAAGTTAGCGAGTTCTTCCGTTCGGCAGTTGTACAATGGTGTTGTGAACTAGCGGTGTGGTGTTTGTTTGTATCTACGCTTTGTTTACGTTACGATGTGACTTGCAAAGTAACAAATAAAAAGCTCGTAAATGAAGATGAAGTTCGGGGGTTGTTATTGCGTTGCGTGATTAATTAATTCAACTAACCGGTTTCTGTTGCGCCGAGTGGTTTCGAACGTGATATTCGACGATCAAGCGGCAAGACGAGACTTTGTTTACAATGGCGTTTTCACTTAACAAGTTGAAGAACATTTTGAATAGCAATCGGGACGGTCAGTTAGCCGGGAGTGGGAGCTTGGATCCCGAAATTGGGTTCAAGTTGTCCTTGCATCCGGTCAGCAAGAATTTGTTCGTGACTGTGATCGGCGCTCGGCACCTACCATCTTTATTTGGGCTAAGTCGCGCCCATGGATACCTCGTTAAGGTGAAGTTCTTACTTTTTTTATATATCTTAAGGAATGTAATATCACTGATAACGTTTGCAATGTTCAACTAAATGTGTGATAACCTTCTGTTCTAAAAACTGATTACAGTGCAACCTCGGTTTAACAAATCGGAATAGAACAAGTAAATATTCGTTATTAGTAATTCGAATTAAAAATAATGCTTTTCTGGATAAGGTAGAGTTATTGTAATTAATCAGTTAAGTAATATTACTCACCTTCTTTTCATTTGTTTAACATTTTTTTATTCGTTGCCCTTATCAAGGGTAGCAGCTGAATGTGTAATTAGGTGAAGTTATGCTATCACAAACCGTTATAAGGAAATAAAAAAAAAACGATAGGTATCTAATAAGGAAAAAGTTGTGAAATTACCCTGTTTACGTTAGATGCTATAGCAACATGCTATGAAAATTAATAAAACAAAAAATATTTTTGTGCATTACAGTTTCACTAAAACACAGAAAATACGACAAGGGCACTGTTTTTGTTTTTTTTTGCATGCATGCATTGCCCATCTGTGATATGTGTTGGAGTAGGTACCTAAGGTAGATTCATCATTCAAGAACGCGAATTCATCATTGCATACTATAGGTACCCACTTGCCTATTAAAAACAAAAAGGTAGGCGCCAGTTTTAGTAAACCTTGTGACATCTACTTTATCTTGACAAGTTTATCTGTTTTTGGCACCTAATAAATCTGTTGTTGTCTGAATTTTTAAGTGTTCAAACTTGGTTTAACATCGTGCTTCTTAGCTTGTGTAGGCCTTGGAACTCGCCTGTACTTCGATGATGTAGCTACCTACCTACTCACACGAACCCAGCTCTCTAATTCCTTAGTAATTATACCAACATTCATTTACGTGCCTACATCTCTGTGCCGAATGTAATGTTTGTTTAACAGATTTAATCACACCGCCCTTTAATAATACCATACATATTAACACCACCATCAATGCGCAATCCCACTTCTTGACACAGTTGCTAAGATATACAATGTATATAATATAAGAAGTAGGGCCGATACATACGCAAACCTGCGTGACATCAAAACCAGCCGGCCTATTCGCTAACTTTTTTGACATTTACAGTATGTTACTTAAGAGAAAATTGCATATCCATCGATGTTTTTCAGAACAAGTTTCTTAGTGGCATTACGGTAAAGCAGTAGTAGATCACTAAATAGTTCGGTAATTATCATTTCTATCTGTCAAAAGCAGTTGGTGAATAGGCCTATAGGGTGATAAGCTGACGTCTACCTGCACGCATGCTGGCTGTACAATCTTTACAAGTAGACTGCACACCCACATACACACACACACACATCACATTATTTCTGCTAGAGATTCTTACCACTCTCTTTATTGTGTTCAAACAAAACCGCCGAAAACCTTACGGTATAAAAAATAATACATCACGGACCAAATCAGCCTTTTTGAAATTGTTGTACAGTCAGCTTCATAAAAATATGAGGTAATAAGGTGTTCATATATATAGTTAAGAGCAAAGGTTCAATTTTTTTTGTATTTAAAGTCATCTAAATATTCTACACAACCAAGTAGTCTTACATTTCTACAGATCAAATGTCTCCAAATACATATACACCATTACAAAGATTTTTACCTACGCATCGTAACTGTTCATTAGTATCTAAGCGTTCAGAGTACATAAAAATATCTTTGCTGACATGGTTTATTCAATTTAAATAAAATTAAAGGTTATAACACTCATTTATATATAGACGTGGACACTGACGGTACGGCTGGTCCACAAGTTCAAAGTCGCTCAGCGCGCTATAGAAAGAAGAGGTGATGGGAGACGAGATTTGCTTTTGATTATTTGTTGGCATAGTAAAATAAATAGTCTAGTTGCTATTCACAGGTGTGCGTCGTGCGAATTCGCGATAGATTCGATTTACAATTCAAATAATACTAATTCAATACAACAAACACAATAATAGAACCGTTAACTAAGTAAGTTAAACAATAATATTCTTTATTTAAGACACATATGTGTTAACTAAGTAAGTTAAACAATAATATTCTTTATTTAAGACACATATGTATCTAAAGAAAAGTTTTACTAGAAAAAAATGGTGCGGGGTTCGAGTCCCGTCCGCTGCCTGGTCCGCGTGGATTTTTTTCTAGTAAAACTTTTCTTTAGATTTAAACATCTAGTAGTTAAATGCTTAAAAATAAATAAAAACATAAATATGTATTTATTTTTTAAGGAAAATAAGTAGGCATTTATAGAATACAAACGTAACATCTTAGAATAATAATTTATCTCTCTTTAAGGAAACTCTTCCGTTGATTTCAATCCTTACTTTTCTTTACCATTCTATGCTTTTACAAACTTTTTGAGAGCGTAACGAAAATCGGTCAGAAAGGTTTGTCTTTTAAGGGGGACTCCATGTGATTTGAATACGTAATTACGAATGAAAAAATGTGGAAATTACCAAACCTTTGCTCCTTAGTTCTCCGCCTGATTTTGGCAAAAAAAGTCAATTGGACTTTTATTTTTGGAATTTGGAAAACTAAATAACTAGTCTGTTTTTGAAGCTAGAAAGTATTCCTTTGGGAGGAAATTCACACAGCAAATTATTCAGAGTTAAACCATATTATGCTTAATTAATTTTTATCTGCTCCACTCTAATCATAATATAAGATTTTTAATCTTTTAGCGCAGGTTTGCTTCCAAAGGGAAAAAGGGAGCTTTTATCGTTTATTACAGTAACTCGAACGGGATGGTCCAATTCATGAAATCACTAAGTCCAATTTTTACAGTTTTGAGCTAGCAACACAGTATGATTTGTTTTTTCATTCTTTTTCGAATGGATTATTTGAGGTTCTTTAGAAATATCACTAAACGTGACATTTCTAGATAGCGAAAAAATTAAATTAAATTTATAAAAAACCAAAAGTCCAAATTTATCACTAAGTCTACGTACCTTTTTGAAAGAAATCGCCAAGTCCCTTGATTAATTGCTCTAAGTCCTAATGGCATACCAGATCAAAGCTTTGATTTTAATATTTTTTCATAACGATATTAATGATACAAAGGGTTGTTTGAATTAAAATGAACTTGCCTGGATGTTCAAATGCCTTAAAGTCACATTTAGAAGAATAGGTAAGCCTGAGTTTTCTATGTCATTGAAAGGTCGGAATATGAGACCTTTTTCTGTTATAAAGTCGGTTTAGAATTATTGAAATACCTAATGACCAACTGATGACCGTTTTGTTGAACTCTTGACGGTAAAAGCCACTAAACTGCAAGAGCTAAGTCGATGCAGTCGCTTAGCACTATATATTGGAGCCTAGCGTGATAATATAATTTTTAATGTGCAATAGTTATCAAATAAAATTCTTGTTTAAACACTGATTTAAAGTATAGTACTAATTAAAAAATAATATTCAGAATGTAGGAATATTCCGAAAAAAAAACTGAAAAGCGCGCGCTTTTTGATACAGTGCGAAACCGTGTAGACGCCGTGTTTTCCGTTAATATTTTTTTGGCGAATTTCAAATAAAAAAAAAGTATGAAATGCATTATAATCTGCGCCTTGAACGGCTGATTCGATTTAACAATAAGAAAATCTGTTAAGATCTGTATGAGTTAATGCCTAACAGACATGGGAGATTCACTACCTTCTTATGCTTACTCGGTGCACTCTTATGCTTGATCGGTATATTTTTGAATGAAATTTAATAACTCTACTTAAAATGTAGCAGGGCGTTGTGCAGGTACAAGGACGAGAAGTGACAGAAACGAACATAGAAAGAGAGTTTAAAATATGAGATACCTGAAACAATTAAAGCTTTTTGTTAGGGCGTGAAGTGGCAATATTCTACTTGTTTTAAACTTTCATGGTCACTAACATTATAGTAATATACGTTATTTACGGGGTTGTTACCATGTGCCTTGTTTTTCTTGACTTCATCGGAGAGTAGACCGATACTTCTGCCAATAACAGCCTACCCGCAACTACTTCAGTTACTCCGTGATCATGGCGCTTGCAACAGTGCTGAAATATCGGAAACTCGCTAAAAACAAGGTACATGGTAACAATCCCGAAAATAACTTATATTCTACTAACTAGCTACAATTTTAAAATTAGACATCATAAATGATTTTATTCTGTATATAGGGTTCTTTTTTAACTGAAATTAAAAAAGAAATTCCTGAAATATTTGAATAATTCATAAATTCAGTAGAGCATTTCCATAATGACAAAAACAAATTTAAATCTTTGAGGCGCTCCAATTTTCGAGGATGCAGTACCATCTATAGTAAATTCAAAATTGGAAACTTTTCATAAATTTTCTGATCGCCTTTTGGAACTGAAACCACACATGGCTATCTCCTTTCCTCACCTTTGCTTATTTACACCAAAATTTATGTACTTACTTCGGTGTTGTCCTGTGTGGAAATTCCCTTTGGTTACCGGTCATATAGATTCTACATTAAAACAAATTGTATCAGAAATTCTAAAGGAGAATGCTCATGGATGTATGGACCACCGTACAATGGTTGCATCAATACCAAATAAATGTTAAATGATCATTTAATATTCAAATTAGTATGACTAATTGGTATTTTGAAAATAAAAACAGGGGTTTTAAAGTTATTGTAAAAAATGTGACATAACCTTAAAACGCCCTATTTAAAGTTAGGTTTACAGCTATTTTGGGTATTTTTTTATTCTGTTGCGTTATTTTTTATCTACTTGTGTCTTTCACACAGTTTTTCCAACCTACTGCATAGATTTTCACAACAACACAGTTTTCAGTGATGGCAGAATTACAGTATGTAGGTATAGGTAAATAAAAACATCAATATAGGTATTTCAAATCACACATAATCTTCATGGAAAAAATCATCTAAATAAGGCGCCGGAGCAGTAACGTCATTGTTGCGACCCCAACTTAAAAACCAAACTATAGTCATTTTAAGGGCACAACAGCCCACGGATTATTTACCAACA